TGGCTTTCAAGCTTTCAATTATACTGTAATGTTGAATGGCTATAATTAATAGGTAAAATTGAGGGAAAATGCGCCAGCAGAAAAACATTGAAACATTGTAAATATGTTTCTTTATTGTAGTAGTAATAACTGCCTGTTTTTGCAAAAATAATTTCATGGCCGGTAAAAAAAAATTTGGGCCGGTAAATTTTACCATGTCACCGGCCATTGGCAGGGGTGGCAAAAAGTTAGTTTTAGGCCCTGTTTGCGCGCGTCCTGAGGCGCGGGTTTGCACGCTTTGGATGAGCGCATGCACAAATCTTCTCACTGTGCGCGCGAGCTCGCGTCCTCTCGCTCTTAAATGTTTAAACTGGCAAAGCTTACATGAGTTTAGTTTAAACACAGATATCAATGTGTGCTGTTCAGGTCTCACACGTGTGCGCGCACTATCAGCACCCCGGGTGATGACGGAAAAAATGGCTGCTCATATTCCAGCATACGGCATTCGGATTGAACAAGAGTGAATGGTTTGTCCACGGTTTTTTTTTCATCGCTGTTGTTGTAATGTACTGGGAAGCCAGAATGCGCATCCATCAACAGAAACATACATTAGCCGAACCGTGTTTGTTTTACGTGTTATTTATAGCAAACCATATTACAGATGCGTTGTCAGATTTAAGTTGAACCGCGGTCCTAGCATGTGCCGAACCGTGTGTGGAGAACCGTACGGTTCGATTTTTTTTCCGCGAACCGTTCCACCCCTAGTGACTTCTGTGTGGGCTGTGCGTCACACATCACTATACTATAGACAACAGACAATGCACCATTTGTGCTTCAAAATTTCGCAAATGTCACTGCACATTTAGCCCCAATTACGCAATGTATCTGTCAGTGGCATCGCTGTCAGTCTCACTGTAAGTTTGTGAAAGACAAGCTGATGCCATCTTTGAGTTTAAATGAGAAGTCTTTTGTAAGAAGCGCCTTGCTGTGAGTTAGACTGAATAGATCTGGACGACAGTAGCAGTATGAGTCAGGGTGGATCTGTCTTTGATTGTTTTGGCCATAATAACCTTCAATCGCTCTGCAGGATACAAAAACTTCACAGAGTCTGAAGAATCAGACTGATGCAGGACATGCTGGAGGAAGATCCAGCCGTATGACTTCATCTCAGTGGGTGCAGTGCTCACAATCTCTCATCTGAAGGCTTTGAAGCTGTCATCTTCAATTACTGCTGCAATGGTTTTCAGAGAAAAATTCAGAATTTTCTTTATTTTCTTAAGGGGGTTTGTTATTCGGCATAAACAGCGAGGGGTTCCTGTCCTTAAAATACCTGGGATGTGTTAGAAAACGATTGCAATGATCCACCTCAGTGAACGTGTGTGGATTCACAGTTCAATCCACATCTCTTTTTCTATCCTCATTAATAATATTGCCCTTATCTGCACCCTGTCTCTGTCTCCCCGAGGAGCCGCCCTGGATTCTGAGATATTGTGTCGTGTGGCTTTGTGAATGCCATGTTTTGTACTTTTCTATTTTTACCCTCTGGCTTGCTCAGCAGGGTTGAAAAGGTCCAGATTACCTTTAAACAAATCCAGAGTTTAGCTGAGCTCCCTGGAACCTTTCCCCTTTGGAAAGGGCAAGAGTTGCAGAAAAATCTCCCAGACCTCTGAGTCGCCCTGAAGCGATACTCAGTTTGATTTAAAGCCAGACGGGAAAGAAGCATGTAGATTTCCTGCCGGCACGAAGGGTGGAGATACACTTGTGTCTATGAGAGTGAGCAGGTCTGTGGGTTGAATCTGGGTCAGGTTGATGTGGATTTCTTTGCATCTCCTGCTTTTTTCTTTGCATCTCCTGCTTTTTTGCAGGTGGTTAGTGAATATGATGTAGGGTTTTATGCTAAAATACCATGCACAAAATATTACAATTGTTAAGTGAAATTGCTATTTTGTGTTCATGCTACATTTGATCCTCACATTCTTATACTTCCTATGAATACTTCAGTAAACCTAACTAGATATCTGAAATATTTTTGTTTCACTGCAAAACACTGAACATCTCATTCTTGTTCTTAAAACTCTGTTATGCCATAAATTGAAAGCATTACCAGTCATTTGCAGTCATTTTGTCATCTCACTACACATACTGTATATTACCGGCATAAAATGAAAAGGCTCCTGTGGTGGCGGCGCTTATAAAAGCTGTAATTTGTGTGTGTGTGATTGCAGATAATCTGGCTTTTTCAGGTTTGTAGCTTTTTTCTGCTCGGTCTCAGCATGAGACTATGCACAGCTTCAATTATCTGTCACCCTGGATCTGACAAAAAGGAAATGCATCTATTCTGGAAGTCACTCGTCTTTGAAGCTCAACCGCTTGTAAGAGGCGCCCAATGAATTTTGGCTTAGCCTCAGAGTCGAAGACAAGCCAGCACCCTCACTCAGTCAGCATGGAAGAAAGCCGATTCAAACTCAAATCTAACTACTGTGATGCGCTCTTGACAGTCACGTCATTTGGTGAGTTTACAGGATTAAGGGCATTATTTTATAAGTGCTAAGTCTGAATTTCTCTGGCTTTCATAGATAGCACTTAATAATACAGCACATCAATAAAAATGACTCTGAAAAGTGATTCGTACTTTCGAAGTGTAATCTATCTTCACATTTTCAGCATGTATTTTTTAAACACAGAGTTTACAGTGATCATTCAATTATGTTAGAGTGACACGCTGAATAACCTTAGAGTAATGGGCGTTATTTAAGTGGAGCTGGTTACAATTTGACAGACAAACACACTGTACTTACGAAGAAGACCTCACTAAACAACACACAGTGACGGTGATTCGGAGACAGCCCCTTACCGTATTCTCTGTGAAATTGTAATCCAAGGAGTACTGTAATTTGCCAAGTTTCTCTTCTTCCTTAGGCTCCACCTCTTTCTCTGTATCCGTCAGCCCTGTTTCCGCATCATCCTCATCCTTCAAGGCCTGAAGGAGACACCCACTAACAGTCAGTCCTGTCGGCCCAACGCTGGCGCTGCCCGATTGCCCTCGCCAGAGCGCCGGGCCAGCCCTGGACCATCCTGCTCTTCAACCGCACCTCTATTAGGGGGGGAGCAAGCACTAAAACACCACAGCAATTAAGACCATGACATGCTCAATGATGCACTAGACTTGGGCTGTGAACCCCCTTCTCTCCTATGATCTGCTATTGTGAAAAGTTGTGAAAAGAGTTGCAAGAAGATGAACTGAATGAGTGCAAGCAATTTAGGTTGGTGGGAAGGGAAAGGCTAGGGCTGGGTGGTATTGGCTGCGCATATGGTGCTGTATATAGCTATTTTACAATGGCTTTGAACTTGGCTCATCCAATCAGTGGTATTTATATTATATTATATTTAAGCCCACGTTAGCTTATGAAAAGCTGTTTCTGCACAGGCATATAAATCATTTATGAATATCTTCCTAATAATTAACATATGGCACTGTCAAAATCAATAAAAAAAAAAATATATATAAAATTATCAAAAAACAAACAAACAAATAAATAATATTGTGTTATATACATATATATCGGTACTGTGATATAAAATTACTTGTACAATTGTTGGTCATACCGCCCAACCCTAGGCAAGATGAGCAGACAGATGTTCTTAAGAAATACATTGTACAATACATTGTCCTTTATGTTATTTCAGGCAGAACAATCTCTGGCATCAACAAATCAGTGGGTAAATGTTGTGGATGGTGTGGCATTTGCTCCCTAGCTAGCCAGAGTTTAAGACAGTGACAGTGTTAAGGGGATGTCGAGGGAGGTTTGTTGTCGCTGGAAAGCATGCGATTTTCGAGGCAAACTCAGCTCTCAGTTCATTCACTGTGAAATAGTTGCCTTCTGAAAGGGCAGTCTTGCTCATCGGTAAAGCATGCAGGGGCATTCACGTTCTCAAGAAGAGTGCTCGTATATTGACCCTCATTTTCTGTGATGTGATCTTCCACACACAGTGGCGTTGTCATGACCCTTAGTTATTGGTGATAACCACCACACTCATGGAAGCTGTAAGCATCATGCCAGCAGAAGGTGTTGGTGGGAGGGATCATAATGTGTACAGGGTCTGTCTTATTAGTTGTTGGGTTACAAGTGTGAAAGCAAAGGCTGAACAAAACTGATTTCTTGACTGTCTTGTCTCCTTATGAGGACCAGACTATTTTCCCAGACACTTCTCTTTGGGGTGCTTGTTAAGTCAAGCTTGTTAAGCTTGTTAATTTAAAGGCATAGTTTTATATTAGTTTTAAAACAATAGTTTTAATTT